GCCAATGAAAGTGACAATGATGATGGGAATTGTGTAATTTCTACAAACTTTAACTTTAATGTGAGGAGTGACTTAGGAATCAAGAAACTACAAGTTGGACAAAAGTTTGGTTCAGCAGCTGAATTTAGAGAAGCAGTGAAGGATACAACAATCAAAGGGAAGGTTGACCTCACATTTACAAGGAATGATGGAGATCAAGTGACTATCATATGCAAAAAAGAATGTGGATGGAAGATTCGTGGATCATTTAACACTAATGATGACTCATTTCAAATAAAAGAATTCAATGATAAACATAATTGTACAGGAGTAAGGGTGAATGGACAGGTAACATATAGCTATATTGCTAAGCATTTTATTGGGATAGTTAGGGCTGATCCTGGTTGCACAGTGGCTGGAATGACAAATACAGTTGAGAAAGAATTTCATGTTGTTGTGAATAAGTAGAAGGTTAGAAGGACAAAAAGTTTGGCTCTATAATTTATCAAGGGTAATCATGAACAATAATTTGGAAGAGCAAGACATTATTGTCAGCTGATTCTTGAATCTAATCCTGGAAGTGTTGCTCATGTAAGTACAATGGCATATACTGATGAATGTCGTGCATTCTACAGGATGTTTTTTCCTTAGAGGCAATGTGGAGAGGATTCAAAGAAGGATGTAGACCATTTATTGGTTTAGATGGAACATTCCTCAAGGGACCCTATGGGGGCCATATGTTGGCTGCAGTTGGTAGGGATGCCGACAATGGCTTATTCCTTATTGCAATTGTTTGTGTTGAGTCAGAATGTAGGGACTCTGGGAATGGTTCTTGAATGAATTGATGGGATTGGTTGGCAACTACCTTGACTTCACATTTGTCTCAGATAGACAGAAGGTATCAAACTTTTAAAAGTTTCTATTTATCACATTTTTTAAAGCTTTATCCAATTATGTACAATAATTTGCACTTATATATAATTTGTAGGGCCTAGTTGAGACATTTGAAAACATGTACCCTGGAACAGACATAAGATTCAGCCTGAAGCATTTATATGAGAATTTTAAGCTAAACTACAAAGGTACAAGACTAAAGAACTTATATTGGGATGCAGCCATTGCATATACTACATCTTAGTTTGAGCTTTACATGCAAGAAATGAGGAATGTAGACAAAAATGCATATGAGTGGTTAATGAAGATTCCTAGGAAGGTGTGGGCAAGGTCATCATATAGTGATAAGAGTAAGAGTAGTCTATGTGTTAACAACATGTGTGAGTCTTTCAACAATTTCATTGAGAAGACAAGGGAAAAACCTTTAGTGTATATGTTTGGGAGCATCAGAAAACAGCTAATGATTAGGTTTGAAAAGAATATGGTTGACATGGCAAGGGTAAATGGATTGTGGTGCCCGAGAATTATGGACAAGTTACAAAAGATTTTAGAAAAGGTAAGAAGGTTGCACATAGAGCCTGCTGGGAATGATAAGTATGAAGTGGATAACATCTCATACCAAGATGCAGGAGTTAGTGATTATGTCAATGTGGCTGAGAGAACCTGTTCATGTAAGTATTGGGACATAAGTGGAATACTATACAAGCATGCATATACTGTGGCTGTGTTCAGAAGGGAGGATCCAGAAACATATGTGAGTCCTTGGTACTATAGGGACACTTTTTTCAAGTGTTATGCCTATGTGATAACTCCAGTTTCATTAAGAAATTTGAGAAGAGAAGTGGGAACTAGTGCTATTTTGCCACCACCTCATAGGCCTCAACCAGGAAGGCCTAAAAAAATTAGGAAGAGAGGTCCAGATAAGGGCCCTTCAACTACTGTTGTGCCTAAGAAGAAGATGAAATTGAGGTGCAAAAAATGTCTTGAAAAGGGCCACAATGTCAGAACTTGCAAGGTAGCTCAACCTGCTATAAGACCACTTAAAGGTAGAGTTGGACGACCGCCACTTAAGAGGGATACATGTGGAGTAGGTGGTGGCAGGAATGACAATGTTACTAGTATGGGTGGTGGAAGACCTGTAGGTGGTGGTGGTGTTGCTGGTAGGGGTGAAAGAGGTGTTGGAAGACTTGTTGCTGCTACTGCTAGGGCTATAGATGTAAGGGGTGGAGTTAGGGATGCAGGTGTTGGTGTATGTAATTTATAGGTATAAATGCTATTTTTTTTGATATAAATGCACTGACATTTCTTGATATAAATGAACTGACATTTCTTGATATAAATGCTTGTTTGTTGTTATATGTTTGTTTAGGTTGGAGATAGGGGTGCTAATAGAGGTCATGGTATTGGTGTAGGAGATGTCTTAGGTCATTCACATGTATAAATGCATTTTGTTGGAATAAATCATTTCCTTGTTATAAATGCACTGACATTAATATTTTATATATTTCTGTAGGCATCATCATCCAACCAACATCAAGTGTTTTATATGGATTATCCATCCACACAAGGTACACAAGATTGAAGAACCTCTTACTAAATTTTGTGATTCAAGTAAGTTCCATGCCATAAGACTAATTTATGATTTCATTCACATGGAATATAAATTCATGAAATGTTTTTATTATTTTTGTAGGTTGGTTGATGGATGATTGGTGATGGTATATTACATTTATTTTTGGGACATTTAATGGATAATGCATTGACAATACTATGATAATGCATTGATTTTTGGTGACACTTTTTTTTTTTTTTTTGTAAAGCTTGTGTTGGACATGTGCTATGACAGTGCTTTTACTTTTTTGTAACCCTTAATGGTGGATGACAGTGCTATGATAGTGCAGTGTATGAAAGTGTTATGACAGTGCAGTGTATGACAGTGCTATGACAATGTAGTTTTATGAGTTTTGTAATCCTTAATGGTGGATGACAATTTTTATGGTCTATATGTTGTATTAGGGTATCATTTTGTTGTATGGACATGTTATGGTGTGGTATAAACAATATGTTGTATGTGGATGGATTTCATTTCTCAAGTACATGTTGTATTACTTTATTACATGAACAAGTTATATGGACAGGTTATGGTATGAACATGTTGTACTACTTTTTGCATTTTTGGACAGGTTAGGGTATGAATGTTGCATTTGGCATTTTGGTATCAATATTATGAACATGTACATTTAAGATAAACAGATTACTTTAAGATCATAAATACTGCAACAAGTTTCATATTGTCAATGTTGTACATCATCCCTAAATCAAAGACAAAAACCTTCAACTCCTAAACAAGTTCAATACCAAAAAAACTAACTTGTACCTACTTCCCTCCCACAGTTATCACAAAAGCACAAGTAGTCACTTTACTTCCATCCCACAGTTATCACAAAAACAGCAATAGAAATGATGATACATGTTACAATAAGTTTCTTCATCAATTGAAGCCTTCCTTCGATGGCATACAACTTAGTCTTCAACTCTACAATATCTTTTCTATCAACACGTTGACCAACCTCAATCTTCTTCCCATTTTCATTTGAAATTCTTGTTGAATTCGTTTTGGACATCTGTAGTATAGCTTTCCCAAATTGTCATACTCATCATACCCCATTACCAGAATTATAATTGTTTTGCCATAATCACATTGAACATTAGTATACCTCAAATCAAGACTCCCGTACTGTATGCTTGAAGAAGACATTTTGGGATTCGAATCTACAAATCAAAACAACATTTAATTTTCTTAAAAACACAAAAAATTAACTCAAATCAACATCTAATTTTAATAAACACACTAAAAATCAACTCAAAACAACATCTAATTTCAGTGGTGGTTATAGTTGGACACTAAGGTAGGGATTGTATTGTATGTATGATTTTGAAAACAAAATTCAGAAAATGGGTTTAAACAACATCTAATGTATGATTTTAAACCTCAAACCAATTACATTTTCAGAAATCCTCAAATAAATTAGTATCAATTAGGGCTTGGGCACGGTTACTTATTAGATTAAATTAGGGTGAGAAATTACCTTAAACATCACTTCCTATAATGGAGGAAACACAGCAGCTCGGGCGACTTCTAGGGCTTCCTGTAACGCGCATGGAGGAGGGAGAGAAGATGAGTAAAATGTGCAGTAACTTTCGTCCCTTTTTACTATTACAAGCTTAGGGGTATTTTCGGTATATCACTTTTAAATACACATCACTTGTTTGGTACATGTGACAACAGGTGTATTTTCGTCACAAAAGTCAATTTGTCAAAGCAATTGCTAACCACGTGCTAGATTAACGGGGCCAATTGATGGGGTAAAATGATAACGTTATTATATTGTTGGGAGTTTTTTAAACTGGTTAAAGTTTTATGATTGCTTTTCAAAAGTATTGAGGGTTTTCAGAAATTTGTCCTTATTATTATTATTATTATTATTTTTTGGTGTAAGTGACTGTACAGAGAGGCCAATCCAAGCCATAGCGAAGCCGAGCTGATTTCCTTCAATAAATAAAACAGTGGCTTGGGAAGCTGACAAGTCATGTGTTCCCTCGTTTGGCAGTGTGTTTGGGCAGGACCAGGTGCATCATGTCTTCCCACAAATTACAATTCTTGTGGGAAAACAAAATCCCACAAGGATGGAAATGGAACTCTCATTTTGACGGAAAACAAAATAGAAAAGAGATTGGAAAAAGAAACCCAAAAAACAAAAAGAAACCAAAACCAGAAAAAAAGAAAAAGCAAAGAAAGCGAAATGAGAGTAGAAGAGAGAGAGAAACACAGACAGATATGCTTTAGAGAGAGAGACACCGCTTGGTGAGGTTGGTTTACTTTTGCTTTTTTTTTTTTTTCGACAGGAATCTTTGAAAATCAATTCCCAACCTCCAAAAAAATTAAATGGAAAGGAAAAGAAAAAGTTGATTGATTTGAGCACTTCACTTAAAAAGACAAAGAAGGACAACATCCTCAACGAGCAAGGGAGGGTCAAACAGTCTTTTCATATTGGGTGTCCATAGAAAATTACGCACCCAACGGATAAGGCGAGTTTGGAGAAAGTAGAGGCTAGAGAGAGAAAGTAGAGAGAGAATGAAGTTCTTTTCTTTTTTTAGTTGCTCCCCCCCTCTCTCTCTCTAAGCTCACAGAATCGTTAACTCCTCACATAGGCTTGGCGGTGGAAGTGTGGAACTCTATTTCTGTACTCTCCAGAATGCAGTAACATGAGCAAAGTGCGCATTGCACACGACCGCCACCTGTTATGAATCCCACCACCGAACCACCACCAGCACTGCCGCGGCCACAACCTCCGCAACCCCACCGCTCATCTTTCAGCTGCGACCGACACCCAGATGAGCAGTTCACCGGCTTCTGCCCCTCATGCCTTTGCGAACGCCTCACCACCCTAGATCAGTCCTCCTCCGCCTCCACCTCCACCTCTTCCCGAAAACCACCCTCCTCCGCCGCCGTTGCTGGCCTTAAAGCCATCTTCAAAGTCCCCGGCGGAGCAATTACCGAAAATAACAACAGAAACAGAAACAAACCTTCTTCTTATTCTTTCTTCCCGGAGCTCCGCCGTACGCAGTCGTTCTCCGCCTCGAAAAACGAAGGCTTTTCCGGCGTGTTCGAGCCCCAACGCAAGTCTTGCGACGTTAGGGGTCGGAGCACGCTCTGGACCCTCTTCAGCCAAGACGACGACCGTAAGACTACGAAGAACGATCATCCCATCGAAGTCGAGACTCGAAACCTAGGATTAGTCTCCTCTTCCGTCACCGGTCCAGTGCTCGAGTCGAAAGAAGAGGATGAACACGAAGACCACCACGAGGACGACGGCGACGACGACGACGACGATGGGGAGGAAATTAGGGTTTCCGAAGAGCCAAGTGCGGCGAACACCATCGAAGAAACAGTAGGAGAGATCGTCGAGGAGGATCACGAGGAGGTTAAGACGATGAAAGACCACATAGATCTCGATTCGCAGCCTAAGAAGCCCTCAGGGAGGGACTTGAAAGAAATTGCAGGGAGCTTTTGGTCGGCGGCGTCTGTGTTTAGCAATAAATGGAACAAATGGAGACAAAAGCAGAAGCTGAAGAAGCGAAACGCCGGCGGCGAGTCCACATTGCCCATCGAGAAGCCCATTGCTCGGCAGTTCCGCGAGACGCAGTCGGAGATCGCCGATTATGGCTTCGGACGGCGGTCTTGTGATACTGATCCTCGGTTCTCGCTCGATGCCGGACGGATGTCCTTGGATGACCCTCGGTACTCGTTCGACGAGCCTAGGGCTTCCTGGGACGGGTACTTGCTCAGCCGGAATTTTCCCCGGCTTCCTCCGATGGTTTCAGTGGTGGAGGATGATCCGGTGGTGCATGTCTCCCGGACCGATACTCAAATTCCGGTCGAAGAGCCGATCAATGGTGTCAATGACGAGCAAACCCTCCCTGGAGGGTCAGCTCAAACTAAGGAATACTATTCAGACAACTCTAGGAGGAGGAAGAGTCTTGATAGGTCTAATTCGATAAGGAAGACCGCGGCGGCTGTAGTAGCTGAGATTGATGAAATGAAAGGGGTTTCAAATGCGAAGGTGTCACCTGCAACTATTGATTACTTTAATGGAACAAAGTTGTTAGTGGGGGATAGAGATTTGAGGGACATGCACTCAAATTCATTGAGAGATGATTGTTCGGAGACCTTTGAACTAGGTTTTGGAGATAATGCTTCGGTGGTTGGGAATGGGGAGCCAAAGGGGTTGAAGAAGTCCCGCCGGTGGAGCAAAGCATGGAACATTTGGGGTTTTATACATCGGCGTAGTGGAGGGAACAAGGATGAAGAAGAAGAAGAGAACTATAGCAGAGTAAATGGGGTTGAGAGGTCGTTTTCGGAGTCATGGCAAGACATGAGGAGGGAAGGTAATGGTGATGCAAGAGGGGCTTTTAATAGAAAGGTGTTTCGAAGCAATAGTAGTGTGAGCTCAAGGAATTCCTATAACATTGGTGGATCATTTGGCATTGTAGGGAAGTCGAGTGTAGAGACAAATGGACATGGTAAAAAGAGGAAGGATGAGTTTGTTTTTGAGCGGAATCGGAGTGCTAGGTATTCTTCTAATGATGTTGATAATGGCCTCTTGAGGTTCTATTTGACGCCTTTGAGGAGCAGTCGAAGAGGTGGACTGGGGAAAAAGATGCCGGATAAGTCACATTCACTTGCAAGGAGCGTGTTGCGACTGTACTGAAATTGAAGGTCTTTAAGTTGTTCTTTGGTTTAATGTTGATTTTGTTGCTTTTGCTGTGTAATCAATCACACATGCTAAGTATTCTTGATAAAATGGTTAGATAAAAGTACCCTGCATTTTGATTAGCATGCTTCTTTGATTACTCTAGTAACATAAACATTCTGTGCTTCTTTGGTCTCTATAGTCCTGTTGTTGACTCATTCAATTGTGTTCTACTTTATTTGAAATGAATGTTTTACTCTTATCATCTTACAATTGTCTGCAAAGTGGTGAATGTTGCAACTTCAGGGAATGTTCACCTCAAGTATCCGGCAAGTAGCATCTTTTTGCAAGGGTTGTAATATAACGTGGCTTAGCCACCCATTTTTTGCTGTTTGTCACTGGGTGATCGTTCCAAATAGTAATAATTGACTGTTTTTTTTTTTTTTTTTTGTCTTTTATGTTTGTCAATCAATTTGATTTTTGGTTTTGGCGTGTTCAACCGTTTACTGAATTTAAAGACAAAATAGGAAGTTAGTACACTCATTAAGAGTCATTTTCCAATCCCACTATCAGCATTATATATTTTGCCTCAGTATTGTTCCCCTAAGAACACTATTCTGTTTCTACTTATCAAAAAAAAGGAACACCATTCTGTTTCTGTAATCTGATATTTCGAGGGCAGATATTATCAGATGAAATGTGACGTCTCCACCTCTAGTATTGGCAAGGATCTGAGATCACTTAGGACAGTAGTCCTATCAGCAGGTACCTAAACTTCGACATGGATAGTTGCCTATGTTGTCTAACCAATTGAGTGAAGTTTCTAAATGTGTGCAACTATATGTATATAGATGCTGTTATGCTGGCCAGGTTAATTTTTCTAAATCCGTTCAGCTTTCAAATGATTTATGTTCAGCTTCTGCAAGTGATCTTACTGTTTATTCTTTATTGAGTTCTTTATAGCCTGTTAGTCATCTTGGATAGCCATCTTTGTAACAAAATTTAGTGCCTAAACAGAAAATATAATGGATCAAACATGCAGATTTCTGTCTTAAGAGTTCAGTTAGTTAACTCGAAACAACGGAAATATTTGCTGGATTTTTGTTGCACATTTAAGGATGGTGATGTATAAATTCTCTTTCCCCTGTATTTCTTCTAATAGTCATAATCCTATCAGAACTGACATGGCATATTTTTTTCTTCATTGTCTTTATCATGCAGTATCTGCTTGTTTGGTCTTCAAATGTTCCACAATCTTTTTACCCACCTTGGCAGCAGCATTGAAGCTTATGGCCGGCTAGGTTTCCCGAGGAATGGATATTTGCGATTGCAGGAATCAATGGCTGTTTTTTCAAGAAAAGCTGGGGTAATCATGTGGTGATCTAGAAAGTAAGCAACTTATGTAAACTATAGGAACTTCCGAGAGAGCATGGAAGCAGTCTTGATTCTAACAACTGGGGTCTGTTAACATCTCCACTTGTTTCTTCCCTTGATCACATGAGCATTAAGTCGTCGTTGTAGTCGGACAGAGTGATTGATCAGGTGATGCTGGTAGATGATACTACATCTTCAAGCTTTGTATCCATACAAGGGATGATGATATGAAGCTGGTGAGTTAGCTCTGAAAACTTGATACATCAGGCTACTACTGAATCAGTAGTATATCTAGTACTCAAGTCCAGAGAATTATAATTCAGAAGTGATCAGTTATTTCCTGCATCCTTTATGTCCTCGTCCTACTTAAATTTATTGTGGAGTTGTATCCTGTAATGGTAATCGGTTAACAATGAAAGATGAATTGGTGGATTTTTTGAAATAGGAAATATCATTATTGGTCTCGGTTCCTTCATTTCCTTGTAAATCAGTAACAAAATGGCAAAAATTTGCTTGAGCTTTAGGATGGGGTTTATGCTACATATTTGATTTTAAACTGTGTAATGTAAAAGTAATGAGTTGGAATAAAATTCTTTTCCAGTAAACTTGAGAACTATATATATATATATATATATATATTTTTTTTTTTTAATTTATTTCTCATGTTTCTGCCTTATTATCTATCATTCACATTTAGTGCTGCTACTTTCTGTTTCTAAGCGATGTTTTATGGATTGTACTCCCAAATGTTCCTAGACATAAAATCCTAACCGGGAAGTTTAATAGAGGGATTTATATCTTTTGGATGAACCTAAAACCCTAACGGAGAAGCCTATCTGAGATTTCTATCTCGGATGAACCTAAAACCCTAACCGAAAAGCCTATCCAAGGGGATTTCTATCTCTTGGATGACCTTAAAACCATAACCGAGAAGCCTATCCGAGGAATTTAGGGTTGAGAATCATTATTCGTTTTGGTTTTGGTCTAGGCCTGTTTCAACAGCAGCAAAACATGCATACCTATGTTGTGCATTTTCTGTGGAGCTTCAGATAGTAGTGCTTCTCCTTCTCCAAATATAAGAAAGTAGTGGTGATAGAATCTGCTTTAGGACCAAAGCATTAAGATAAATGTGAAATTAAGAAAGAGAAAAAGAGATAAGACCATTTTACTGTCCAAAGAAAATACACTAGTTGCAAAAAGAACTTTTGACCAGGGAAGCCACAAAGAAGTAGTACACACTTTAAACCAATAGTTGGCTCAAATCCCATCATCAAAACAGAGAAAAATGAAGCCAAGCAATGATTATTTCTCAAAAATCATGAGTTCTTTTTTGTCTTTGTCTTTATTTTTTCTCCTATTGGGAAATCAAAGGAATCAAACTAAAACATAATGATTCAGTGTGTTTTGAGCTTATGTTTTGTCTTATTTTCCTATGCTTGTAAAAAGATATAATAAGATCAAAAACATTTAAATTGACAGCAAAGTCAAAAAGAGAGAATGAAAACATCCCAACATGATAAAGGAAGAAAAGATGGAAAAAGAGGCACACAATCCAATGGAATGTCCAGCTCTTCTCTCTCATTGGGCTTCAATGGGAAATGGTTGGCAAAGACCATTTGAATAAATAGCGAGCTTCTTAGTCAACAATGCTCAGTATTAGAATGTTGAAACTGTTGGGAAATAAATATATAAATTACAATGAACCTTCATTAAGCATACTGGATCATGCTTGTCAAATCTCAATATGGCAATTAATGTAATAACACTAATACAATAAACATTAAAACGCTATAATCATAAATTTTGATAGGTATTGTGGTATCAATTTTGATAGACTGGTGCCCATTTTGGATTAAATGAAAAGATTTGTTATGTAATAGACTGGAATATCAATAGTTGGAATTAATTAAAATGAGTTGAACTTTAGTCAATCACCATGTACTTTATTTTCATCAAACACCTTTTATTAAATTTTTGGCCTTACAACTTCTTAAGATCAAAAATAACCTGGGCTAAAAGAATCAAGTGCTTGTAAAACTGGAGAGAGAGAGAGAGAGAGAGAGAGAGAGAGAGAGAGGACAACAAAGTTAATTGATGTTTGATGAAATAATTAGATAATTTCCAACTTCAGCAGCTCCTATAAATATGCGAATTCTAGCAATGGAGAATGGGTTCTAATACCAAGCCAGCTTGTAAGTGTTTGTCATTGCAGTTCCATAATACTCATACCCATAGCTCAAAAATTGCAAACTTTGGTTGGAACCAATTTTTTTTTTGAGATTTGGAACTGAAAAAGGAAAAGAAATAGAAGTATTTGAAATAAAATTTCATTAGTGTGTTTAGAATAAGCTGGAATTCAATTATAAAATAGATATTTCTTTAACCATTTTATCCTTATTAATTAGAATTGCAATCTTATAATAAGCCAGAAAATAATTATAAAATAATTTTTTTTTACCATATTATTCTTAATAATTAAAATTTCAATCTTATGTTTTACTTAAAAAAATTGGAAAATTGGATAAGTTGCAAACCTACAACCTACAACTAAATTAATTTACAAATTCATCAAATTGTACCATTTTGCATTGAATTTGAGGACATCAGGTATGGGATTTCAAATCCCTTTGATTTCAAACACTAACACTGTGTTTGGTTTTCCATTAATTAGTATTATTATTATTTTTAGATATTAAGGATATGTAAAGTATTTGAAATAATCTCAGTAACCAGTATGATAATGGAATTTATTTTTTTATTAATTATTATTATTATTATTATTATTATTATTATTTAACAAACGTAATGTTTACAAAAGAAAAAAAAAATAAAAAAATGGAGGTTATAATGGTACTTTTGTTTCCATGTCTTGAAACAAAATTAAATTTGAGAATGTACCTTTTTCAAATCAAATATGTTAATGTAATATTTGGGAGTATCAAGTTGGCGCCTTTTATTAGAATTTAAGAAAGTTTAATTTAAAATTTGTATTAAATTTTTTCCCAAGGCGCCAATTCATTGCCGCAAAACATAGCATAAATAGATTCTTAAGAAATTTTTCACATTAATAGAAAAGACAGTGTGGTAGCAAAAGCCATATCTTTCTATTATCAAAATTTTATAAAATAGTAGTTCAATATATTATTACAACATATTTGATTAAAACTATCCACATTAAATTGGGAGTGTATACATGAAATAAAAAAATTTATAAGGACATTCAAGTTACAAAATAAAATCACCTAAAAAAGAAGAATTTAGAATTGGTACACTACTCTAGAAATTTTTAGAAGGGAAATTTGTCAGACCAATAAATCTAGATAAATCATTCTTCGTGAAAAATATGTGTACAAATATTTAAAAATAAAAAATATTATAAATTGTAACTTTAGAATAATCTAAATAAACTCAGAAAAATTAAGGAGATGTGAATGGCCTATAAAAGCCCAATGGTTCCATGCATGCCAAGCTAGCTAACCTTTCCAATATCCAAAACTCTTCCACTTTGAGGAGATGTGTTCCAACAATCAAAGAATACTCTAGATATCACTTATTACTTTTCAAGGAGGAGAGAGAATAAAATAGTTACCAATCTAAATTAAACAGTGCACAGATTATGAACATCCACAATTCACTAATTGATCTAAATTTTATTTTTTATAATATTTATATAACAACTATACCCATCAAACATTTCTAATCAACTATTACTTTTCAATAACATAAAAAGGCCGATGGGTGATAGTCACTTGAATATAAACGGCTCTAGATTTTGAATAAGGATAAATATGGTATAATATTATTTTCATTCCAAATCTCATCTTACATCCCAACTAAAAGGAAATGGTTTTCCTTTCAAATCCATTTTGTTCGAAACATACCTATAGGATTTCATTTCAAATTCAATCATTCAATTACAAGGAAATGGCTTTCCTTTCAAATCCATTTTGTTCGAAACATACCTATAGGATTTCATTTCAAATTCAATCATTCAATTACTTCTCCAAATTTAAATTCCAAAACGTTTTGATTCCAAACTTAAAAGAATTTTATTTTGAATTCCAAAATCACACAAAATCCCATCATTCCAAAGAGACCCCATATTGTGAAGGCCATAAAATTTAATCTTGTTAGGGTTTTAATAAAACATACGCTGCTCCACAAAGAGGCTCATATTGTTAAGCCCACAAAATTCACATAAACAACGATATATTGGACCATTAGACTCAATGGTTCTTATTAAAATTCGATCCAACAAAAAAGGGATTTCGTAAAATATATGATCTGCTCTACAAAGAGGCCTACATTGTGAAGCCCATAAAATTCACTCAAACCCTATCAGCTATGGACCGTTGGACCGATAGATCTAATCTAACGGTTCTAATTAAATTCGATCCAACAAAAAAGAGAACGTCTCATCGCCCTCTCTCTTGAAACCCGAAGTCCTCACCCCCTGCTACCCACCCCTTCTCTCTCTCTCTCTCTAGATCAATGGATGAGTCCCTCTCTCATCTACGTCTCACTCTTTTTCAAGCACTATTTGCAACAGCTCCCTCTTGGCGGTCATTGTCACACCGCAGGCGGCGGTGATGGTAGAGAGATCTGTGGCCGGCGAGATCACGAGCTTGAACCAAACAAAGTCCAAGGTTTGCTAAATAATGCCGAACCGAGCTCGAGCTTGAACAGGTCCGACTTTGGTGAGCTACAACTCAAATCTCAGACTCATTTGCAATCCTATTAATGTTGATTTTGTTACACTTTTGGAGAATATCACACATAAATGATACTGTAATATTTATGGTAGAGAGATCTGTGGCCGGCGAGATCACGAGCTTGAACCAAACAAAGTCCAAGGTTTGCTAAATAATGCCGAACCGAGCTCGAGCTTGAACAGGTCCGACTTTGGTGAGCTACAACTCAAATCTCAGACTCATTTGCAATCCTATTAATGTTGATTTTGTTACACTTTTGGAGAATATCACACATAAATGATGCTGTAATATTTTTTCTTTGCTGAGATGCAAAGCAAAATATAGAAGTAGTTCTACCCTAAAAAAATAAAAAAAAAATTCATATTTTAAATCTGTTATCATCAAAGCTATAGTGTATTTTATTCATAGGAAAATTGATTATGTAAAAAGCCTAAGTTCTCTATTTTGTTCCTATATAATTTTGGGGAAAAAAACTTGTATGATAAAGCATCAGATATAATATGATTTTGGTGATTACAGAGTTATCACCAAGAGTAGTTGACGGTGCAACATCAAATTAGCTTGATGTATTAGCCCCAAGTGTTGAGATTTCATTTGGGGTTATATCTCAATCAACATTTTATTATTATTATTATTATTCATATTATTATTATTCATATTATTATTATTCATATCGTAATACAAATTGTACTAGTAAAACTAATTAAAAGCGAGGCAAGGAAAGACTTCACATTTTCTCTTCTTAGGTTCTTTTCTATTTCATAATACGAATACAATACTAGTCCGACCAAAATCGGGAGTTACTTATTTTAGTCACGGCGTTTGTTTAAGGAGTATAAGTAACGGGTTTAGCCCACTCATGGTGATAATGTACACTATCCGTCATAGATATATTATTTGAGGTATTGCCCCATTAATCATGCTATTTGGTTAAAGGACCCACATCTTTTAAATGCATGGTTGGAATTAAATTCAAATTTGTTTTATGTATTTAAGGATGCATTTATTTCAGATTCATTATGTCAATTTTATTCATTTCACTTTGCTATGACTGGAAGTTTAATCTCAATATTGTTCACTATTGACTACTTTATTCTCTACCCTTTTGAAGCTCCCACAGAGCTCTTGAGGATTAAGGAAAGGGTGAATAGGAGGGCTAGTCAAACAAAAGGAAGGGCGTTTTCTTTGTGGTGAATAGGAGCACTATCTGACCATCCCAAGCCCCTAGGCTTTTTGGGATTCGGCAGGAAATCCGAAGGTTCAAGGAATGGAACAATTGGTTTCCCAACTCAAAGGGATCTTCGGCGGTGTCTTTGGTTTGCCATCCGTGTCAGATATGGTTTCTGTGTCGTTTGAAGGCGGCCAATACACCCCGAGCATAGAGCATACCTTGAATTGCAAACAAAAGAAACATAATGGTAAGTGCTTGGTCTGCGGAAATCTATATGCAACTAAGGCAAAAAGGGATGAGCACTGTAAGTCGTTTGTGAAAACTTGTCTATACAAGGTCTATCTTTATAAGTGTAGCTTAGGATGCGTTTAGTACCCTTTTTGTTTTCTGTTTTTGCAATCTTAAGAAAGCAGAAACATGATTTTGCTTTCTCAAGTGAAAATAGAAAACAGAAATGATGTTTATTAACACTTGTTGTTGTCGCAAATTTGAAAACATAAAACAATAATGTGTTTAGTAATACAACATATTTGTTACAAAATGTACATAATATTCTTTAAATTTTTTTTTTTTTTCATGGCAAGATTTTTAGGAGTTGTGATTAGAGAGGAGGGTGAGGGGGAGGGTAGATGACTTGAACACGAACTCTCAGACACAGTGAGTAACCCAACCACTCAGGCGCGACACTTGCTTCCATTAATATCAAAAAATCATAAATCATGACAATCTAATTTAAAATTATAAATCTTAAAAATACCCAATACATCATAAGTACAAAATTAGATATATTAAGACAAAAATATTTTCACCAATTATGTATATAAATACATATATATGCATGATGTATACATTTATCATGTGATATATAATATATTTAGCATATGATAATTTATTATGAATAAAAAATATTAAATAATGTATCTTATATGTAATAAAATATATATTGTGTTATAATATTGTAAATTAATTATAATTTAAAATTTACATGTAATATAATATAGATATGATATATAATAATATAAAATGTCTACTACTTAATAATTTAATAACATTATATTATATTTCAAAATTATTTTGTCACAACAAATAATTTATATTATTATTTAATACAAAAATATATATTTTTAATATAGAATATATTAAATATTGTATATTATTTTTATTTGATAAAAATATATTATATTATAATATATTTTTATCAAATAAAAATAATATACAATATTTAATATATTCTATATTAAAAATATATATTTTTGTTAACCTTTAATATGTAACTTAGTATATAACACAAATAATATGAATTTTATTTAAAATGAATAGTGCCTGTGTTACAGTGCCAAAAATATAAAAAACATCATTTTGACGTTTCTTCTTTTCTTCACAAAAATTAAAAACGTTTTCTGTTATAGAAAAACAAAAACATTTTATTGAACGCAATTTTTGTTTTTGTTTCGTCTTTTTAGAGGCAGACAACAGAAAACAAGCAACGTTTCTCGTTACTAAGCACAGCCTTATTTTTTAGTTGTTTTTGTTTTTTTGTAAGCTACACTTACACAGGTCTAGATAGACCTTGTATGCGCAAGTTTTCACAGGTGACTTGCAGTGCTCATCCCTTTTTGCCTTAGTTGCATATGGATAGATTTCCATAGACCAAGCAATTACGATTACGTTTCTTTTGTTTCAATTCAAGATATGCCAAGTGTCTCTATCGTCTTTGCTCGGGGTATTGGCCGCCTGCGCGTCATACCGAGTGATTTTGCAATTGCTTCCTAGTTTTGTACCTTTTAGGGCAGAAACGACACAGAAACTAGACCTGATGCGGATGGCGAAATGGGAGACACCGTTAGAGATCCCAGGGAGACCAATTGTTCCATTTCCTTGAACTTTCGGATTTCCGAATCCCAAAAAGCCTAGGGGCTTCGGATGGTTGGGAAAGCAAGATGTGAATGTGAACGCAAGGGGGCTTGGGATTGTCAGATGCTTGGGGAAGCGAGCTTTGAATGCAGGGAAGGGCCGCCATAAGGAATGAATGTTACAGAAAATGGGCGTTTACTGTATTAGGGTTTTTGGAAAACCCAATGCTAGCCTTATAAAAGGGTTTTTAAAATTTTCCTCTTTTATTTTTTATTTTTATTTTTTTTTATGAAAACCACGTTCCAAGAACCTTCATTTTTTTTATTTTTTATTTTTTTCCTGGCAAACAAAGCAACAATACATTACATAACAAAAGTAAAGTAGTCATCCTTTGCAAATGCAAGGATACAATCCAGACAACAAGTAACAAACATGGCAGATTTGAAAGCACTAATTGAGAGCTTGACAGCAGGAGCAATTAACACATTACTTTCAAACCATAGCTTCTGAAAGGGAAACAGCCTCGCCCAAATGAAAGCGTTAGAAAGGTGCACTATCTTTGCCTTCTTTTCCTTATTAGCATAGGAATAGGGCATAAACATTATCAGACGCCCAATGGTTTCCTTTGAAGCACTGAATACCCACCCTCCTCCTTGAACTAAAACTTGCACAACCACAGTACAAAGCTCCATTCTCTTCCAAGGTGGTTTCCGAACTTGAGGCGAGTCAAATTGCTTGAATCCTTCAGCACCAAGAGGATACCAAAAGGTATCTTCAAATAAATCGCGCAAAGTGCACTAAGAACAACAATGTTGCTTGAAGTGGGGTTTGCGGAGAGTCCAATTGGCCTGGACGTCGCACTCTAATGGCTGCATGGGCCAAGTTACTAAAACATTTACCCCACTGCAGCATAGGAACGTGTGGGCCTTGCAATCTACAGCCCAGAACCTAATGGGCCTCTTGTTGGACGAACCCAGCTACAAATAAATTGGTCTGGGCATTTGTATGGGGCGGTCAGTAGTATTGGGCTTAAATAAGGCAAATAGTCCATGTGGGCTAATGAAAAGAATAGATGTGATGTACAAAACATAGCCCATACCTGGAGACACATAATGACAAATGTGGGTCATTCTCTTTTCTCCAAAGAGTTCTACCAACACCGAGTCCCCAATACTTGCCTTCCTCAGTACGCCAATACAACATCAGCATGATGTCACATGATAAGATCAGCGCAGGGTATGGAAACTGTTCTAGACCTCTTTGACCGGTATGATGATGAGCGGAATAAATTGAATGGACAATGCTTAACTACTCATCGGCGAATAGGGTGAAGCTACTTATTCCTATGTGATCCAATAATAAAATAACACATCACTTTTAATAATAAAATAATTCACACATTTCTCTACTTTTTCGGATCAACCATTAAATAAACGTATATAGTGTTTTTAGGTGTGGATTATTTTATTAGTAAATGTGATGTATTATTTTATTATTGGATCACATAAGGATGAGTAGCTTTACCTTACTTATCAGTGAGTAATTAAACATTATCCAAATCGAATATTCCGACGAAGAGAACAAAACAGCGGCACCATCAGCTACATATAGTCATCGTTTAACTAGGCAAAACATGGGTAGCATTCAGAAACAAAAGTAATAGACTAACCATCTCCATCATCTAAGTAGTAGAAATCGAAACATGGCAACGACCGACCGTTGGAGAGCCAGCCGGCCGGTCTGCATCCCTACCATTGCCTGCCTTCGGATGGTAAGAGAGAGAAATAACCACGACGTGTTGGAATTTTTATATATGTATTTAAATAATAAAAATTATTTTATGGTCCTATGCACTACGTATTCTAAAGTAGGATTGCAATGTGATTATTAATACTTGATGGATTGGGTTTGTACTTTCCAATTTGGTGGTCTAATTGGGAGTATGATTTTATTATGTTGGATTGTGGTTTTCCAACTTATTTGGTGTGATTTATTTCTAACCGTTGATATCTAAATTTCCATGATAGGAAGGGAGATTTAGATATGCTTGTTTGTAAAGAAGTCGTCCCCCTATTATTGTTATATATAGGGGTTTTAAAACCCTTATTCAGACCTATCGTATCGACAACTTTCAGAAGGAGGTAAAACGCTCTATTTTCAGATATTTCAAAGGGCGATAAGAAATTCTCAAAGGTATCTAAAATTTAATTTTCTAATCAGGTATGATATAAAAAATCTCTCTTTAATTCATGATCAATTTTAATTTCTACTTGTTATTTGTTATGTAAACCCAACAATTGGTATTAGAGTCAGGTTAAGGTTTGTAGAAATCAAAATCAGTGAATTGAATACACATTATATATTATTTTAAATTAAGGGCAGGATAAATAAATAAATTTATATTTGATTGCAAACTGTGTACATGGGTTTTGCGCTGTTTGGATCGAAATTTGTGTTTGTTTTTTCGAATATTCGTGTATGATTTTAAAATGAATTAATTACATATTATAATCAGGTTCATTTTTTAAAATAATTTATATGTTGTTGTTTAAGCAACCAGTATGCTATATATACATATCAATTGGTTTCTTGTTGTTATGTGGTGCACGTCGAACGAAGTTTGAACAATCAATATGCTATATACAGTATATATCAATTGGTTTTCTGTTGTTATGTGCATCACGCCAAACGAGATTTTAAACAATCAATATGGTATATACAGTATATATCAATTGGTTTCCTATTGTTATGTGCATCATGCCAAACGAGATTTCGATTTTGCAATTAATCAATTTGTCTTGTAATCTGTTATGCATGCACGCCGAACGAGATTTTTTAATCAGAATGAATTTGTTATGCAATTAAGCAATTTGTTTCCTTTATAAGTTGTGCACACCAAACGAGGAACAAAACAAAAGGTCAATAAGTTTAATTGTGAAAACATATTGTGTATAATATATATTATATATATATATATATGTTTTGAATATTTAATTATTTCTTTAAATTATTCTATATATGTGAGGTATAATTTCATGTATTATTTATTAAATTGCTCATTGACTAATTGATAGAAATCCTATATAATAGTGATGAAATTGCATGACCTCATGAGTGTGCTATATATATAATTTTAATAGAATTTCTAAGGATAAGGTCTTTAATTAGGGTTTAAGAGGACCGGTAAAGTGACCGTTTCAAAAAATTAATAGTCAAAGTGAGTGATGCCAGCTAAAAGTGACACGCTCATGGAGGTTATTATTTTTTGAAATTTTAAGGCATTTGTCTTATTGAGGTCACATAGTGCACTTACTTACATGAGGATATTTGTTCTGCTAAAATGTGATCAATGTCTTAGTGTGGGATAAGTGAGTAGAATATTTGAGAGGGCTTGAATTATAACTAAATAACCCTCTTGCCAAAAGGTAGTGGAAGTGTTCAACAACAATTCAAGTATAATCAAATAGGTCTATGTGTGATTTGATCGCAAGTTTGGGGTTAACATAAAATCTAAAAGTCTGCCAAAAGGTGATTTTTAGATGGCATTTTATATGTTCCTGTAGGATAGACGAGTTTTGCATATAGTAAAACACCATGAGAAACACGAATTAAAG